CCATTCCCAACCTGAGTGAGACCCTATGTATAGCCTCCTTAGCCAGTTTACTCTTCCCCTAGCCAGGCCCCATTTCAACCTTCCCCATTCAGGACCTCTTCCCTGGAAAGGGCCTTCTTCCCATAGCCAGGGATCTATGCCTAGCCTTTGCTCCTTTCAGGAAGACCATTTTTCCAAGAAGCTGCCCCTTGACTGGCCTTGTCCTAGTCAGTGCCTCCTTTCCCAGCCAGGTATCAGCTTCTCTTAGCTTTCCCTCTCCAGCTGATATAGTTTAGATATTTGTCCTCTCCAAATCTCATGTTGAAATTTGATCTCCAGTGTTGGAGGTAGGGCCTGGTGGAAGGTGTTTAGGTCATGGGAGCAGATCCCTAGTGAATGGCTTGGTGTCTTCCCTGTAGTAGTGAGTGAGTCCTTGCTTTACTAGTTCATGTCAGAACTCACTGTTTAATAAAAGTGTATGGACTCTTTCTTGCCATGTGACACGTTTGCTCCCCTTTTGTCTTTCAACACAATTGGAAGCTCCCTGAAGCCCTCACCAGAAGCAGATGCTGGCACCATGCCTCTTGTATAGCCTGCAGATCTGTGAGTGAAATAAACCTCTTTTCTTTATAAATTATGCAGCCTCAGCTATTTCCTTTATAGAAGCACAAAATAGACTAACACACCTGCCAAGTAGCCTCCTCAGCCATGTGACCTTTCCCACCAAGACCCCTTCATCCCCAAATGCCCCTGTGTGAAACCATATCCCCCTCTGCAGCAAAGAACCCTTCCCCAGCTGTGTCCCTTCTTCCAGCCAGGCTCTCTTCACCCACCTAAGCCCTCTTCCCCAGTCTGTGGTCTTTTTCTCAGGCAGTCTCTTTCCCCAGAAAGGACTCTTTCATCTACCCTAGTGCCCTTTCCCTAGCCAAGGCCCTTCTTTAGCATATTCTGCCTCCCTCAGCCAGACACCCCTATCCTGCTCCCCTCACATCTTCCCTGGCTGGGCCCTCTTCCTCAACCATGTACCTTACCTCACCCAGCTTCTCAGTCAAGGGCAGAGCCCTCATTCCCAGCATGACCCCTTTCCTAGCAGTGGTAGACCCTCTCCACCTGCTAGTCCCCCTCTCCTTGGTCAGGTCCATTAAGCCACCTCTTGTCCCATCTATAGCCTTCATCCTTTTCAGCATTCAAACCTCTCCCATCACCAGGTTCCTTTTCTGTGCCTCCCTTCCTGGCCCTTCCCCTGCCAGGGTCTTTGAATCCCCCAGTTGCCCCCTAGCCTACCTTTCTTTCTCAGCTTATGCCCATCTCTCAAGCTTCTGCTCCCTTTATAAGACAGGCACAGCTCCATCTCCAGGCTTCTTCCCCAGCCTCACCCTCTTCATCAGCCTATGTCCTCCTTCCAGCTTATGCCGATATTCCTGCCAGATCTTCCCTAACCTGGTGCCCTGCCCAGCCTGGGCTCCATACAGTCTATGTCCCCTCCCCCAGCCAGATATCCTATTCCAGGATTTTTTTTCTCTTTTACAGCCAGGGACACCATTCTCATCCTTTGGCCCCTAACCCAACTAGGCCTCCATCCTTTGATCAGCTAATTACTTCTCTAACCAGCCCTGCAACAGCCCCCCTGCCTACCTGCCCTATTCTCCCCTTTCCAGCCAGGCCTCTCTCCCTACCCTGTGTCCCAGGCCACAGCCAGGTTCCCTTGCAGAGCCATGTTGCCTTCCTCTGCCTATTCCTCCCTACCCAGCTAAGTCTCCTTTCCTAGCCTGTTGTCTCTTCCTCCACATCTTTCTCTTTGTCCTGCCAAGGCTACTCCTCTGCCTGGCTCCTTTGTTTATCTAAGCTCACATCCTCAGCCCTCTACCCTTGAAGCTAGGTCCCACACTCAGACATTCTCTCTATCCCCCATCTCAGCCAAGCTTCCTTCTTCCTCAGTCCTTTCTGCACCCCATGGTCCTTCTGCATCCCGTGTCCCCTTCCTAGCTAGGTCCCTTTCCCCATCCAGGCCCAATTCCCTAAGCAAGGATCCCCTCTGCTATCTATGCTCCCTTCCTGGGCTAGCTCCCTTTTTGCAGCTGAGCCACTTTCCCAAGTCATGGCCCCATCGCAGCTTTTGGTCCTCTTTCTGGCCTGCTCTAACCTTCCATGCCTGGTGGCTCTGTTACCAGCTAGGCTCCCTCTTTTATCTAAGTCCTCCTTCCTCAGCCAGACCCTGTCCCTAGACAATGCCTCTTTCCCCAGGAAGACCTCTTTTCCTTCCAGACCCCTTTCCCTAGTAGGTGTCCCTTGCTTGGCCAACCAGCTTGCCCCATCCATTTTCCCATTCAGCAGCCCCAGACTCCTCCATCATCTGCTGTACCCTTCCAACTAGGCCTCTTGCCCCAACAAGTTGCCCCTTCACTGACCTATCTTCCTCCCATAGCCAGTGTCTCTTTTCCTGACCTATTCTCTACCTAATCCCACCTCTGTTAAGTTACCACCCAGCTTCCCTTCTCAAGCCAGGTCACCTCTCCTCCCTGTTCAACTTGCCACCCAGCTGAGCCATCTTCCCATACCAGGATCCCCTCACCAGCCCATGTCCCTGTCTCCATCCTGGTCCCCTTCCCTTGCCAGGCACCTTCCCTCAGTCAGGTCTTCTTTCCCAGCTTCTGGCCCTCTACCTGGTCTCCCTGCCCATCGGGACCCCCTTCCCTAGCCAGACCCTCTCTTTTAGCTTGTGATCTCTCAATCACATGCAGCCACCCCAGCAGAGCACCTTTCTAATTTCCAGAGCCCCTCACCAGCCTTTGCCCATATCCCAAGTCAGATTCCCTTCATGGGCCTATGCCCCAGACCCCATGTAGATCCAGGTTCTCTTTAACACCTATGCCCAGGTCCCTGGCCATCCGCCTTCCTCAGCCTTGCCTCTTCCCTCAATCTGTTCCACTTTACCCTGCCATTCATCCTCCTAGGCTACCATGGTCCTCAACTCGTGCCCTTCTTCCCAGCCCCAAACCCCTTCTACAGATTAAACCTCCCTTCCTGTTCTCCTTTCCCCTGACTATGCCCCCTCCTGCAGTCTGTCCCCCTTCCTCCCCAACTGGTACTCCCTTCCCCTTCCAGTGTTCCTATCCCTATAAAAGGTCTTCTTACAATGCACCCGAATACCCAGGTTTTCCCAGGAATCTTCTCTTCTCAGCCAGGTGGCTAGCTGCAACTTATCTGATACCCCCATTTACATAGTGACCTATCTGGCAGAATTTCTTTATTTGTATTTTGAAAACACTCCAAAATAAAACTTCCTTTCCTTCTACGACACTGTCCCGGGATGGTGAGTTTTGGGAAATAGGGGTTCTTTTTCATATACTGTAATGAGAGCACCGTGAAATGAAACCATTTTGTGATGTTTTTTACTTAGTGAAACATCAGGTCAGGACAGCCTCAAGATAAAGTTCCTCCCTAAATCCTTCCCTTGTAAACACTCAACTCCACATCAGCAGCAAGACTGCAAGCCCATTTTTCCTTCCCAAAGCCTCATCTGTCCCATCCCTGTCCAACTCCTGTTTTCTAACCCTCCAGGTTTCCCTTGCTGAAGTAGATCTGGGATATAAATTACATGTGAACTAAGCTACACAAAAATAGAGAACCAGGTATTTTTAAAACTGCTTTTATGTTTTAAACACATTGCATAATTAAAACATTTATTGAACTTATATATTTTATTTTAGAACACTTGAATGTGCAAAGAATTTTTAAAATTAATTCAAGTAACCTCACTGAAATACAGGATATGAAGATTACATTTTTAAGAAATTGTTTACTGCAACTCATTTCACTTTTACTATTTTTTGGCAAATTCAAGATATTAACAAGTCTCAAATATCAACAAAGGTATATTGTTCACATTTTTATCACATGTCAGTTGTTGATATAACAAAATTAACTACTTTAATACTTCTTAAAAATCTTTTTAATACTTTTCTAAGAATTAAACAAAGTTACTAAGTTGAGGTATTTTACATATTATACCAATTGATATAACAAGATGGATCAATTACTTGAATAAAGTCATAACCTTTTATATCTCTAAGAATAAAGGAAACGTAACAGATTCAGATATTTATCCCTTACAGTAAGTTAAACTATCAATATGTCTTTGCTTCATACCAGCTGTAGAGATAATGACATGAATCAACTACATGAATAAAGTGATATCCCTTCTTGCCTTTAATAGAGAAAATTAAGTTCAGATCTTTCACATTTTAGAGTAAACTTTACCTAACCTATCTGTTTATCTAAATTTATTTTCTATATTTAACACTTATATTTACCTTCTAAATTTAACAAACACTAGTATTTAGGACTTAGCAACCATCCGAGGAACTAAAATGAATTTGGAACCGCACAAGTTTTGATGAAAAAACAAAGTAAAAGCAGAGCTGTTGTTCATAGCTTGAGAGATCTCCTTAGTAGCCTAACTTAAGTAAAAAGCAAACAATGATACAATTTTTCAGAAAACTCAGCAAAAGGCATTCACACAGTATTTCAATAACATGAACTCCAACTCTTTCTAAGTAAGCTATTGTACTTAACTTATTTTTCCCAATTGAAGAATGCATCAAACCAAAAGTTTCCAATTTTACCCCTAAGTTACTTGCAACATGAACAATTCTCAGTAGAGGAGGGAGGTAAAGACCCTTAGGGGCAAAAGAGGTTCGATTTTGTTAAACTTTTGCCTGTCAGGTGGTACAAAGCAGATTTTTCCCTTGAAATTCGGCCCTCCACCCCCCCGTGAAGGACACAACAAAGGACTGAGAGGATAGAGGGGCCAAGGAAGGGAGATAGGAGGAGAAAAGCCAGTGAAATTTGAGTAAAACGAAGAAAAACCAGGAAAAAAATAAAAAGCATCCTGCTGAGGAGATGTGGCAGCGGCTTCAGCTCCGGAAGTGATGGCGACTGCGATGCCGATGCTCGGCAACGTGATCCGGCCTAGAAAAGGTACTGGGGGGCTCCCCCTACGACGCCAGCCTGTAGTGGCTTCACCGAGTTGTAATGTTCCCCGAGGTTGCAGGCGTAGCGCAGGTAGACGGCTTCCGGGTGTACTCCTTCCCAGTAACGACAGCCAGCGAATCCGCCTGGATGACTTCGATGGGGGTCTGCAGGACATGTGACAGGGCACTCAACTCGAGCTGGCCTCCCCACGACGCTCTGTGCACGATGTCATCGCAGTAGCTCAGGAAATCTTCGCGGCCATAGGCGTGACTGGTTTCCGGGTCGCTGAACAAGGGCAGAAAGTCGTCGTCGTGCTTCCGCAGGTAGTCAGCGGGGCGAGAACGCAGGCTTTCTATGGTCATGGAGAACACCAGATGATCTTGGATGGCGCGGTACCTGCAATGGCCATCGGCTGGGATATCTTTCATCTCCAGATTCTTGGTCCCCACGATGGTGGCGAGCTTCTCCTCCTCCTCACACCGGAAGCTGGCCAGGTGCTCCATCTCGGCCTCTGCGACTCTCTCTTGGCGCTCTCTATCCAGGGCGGCCCTTCTTTCTCGCTGCTTCTGGGCCCTCGAGAGTCGCGGAAGCTGGTTCTCAAGATCCATCTTGGCCAGATCTTCAGTGATAGTATCGAGGTCGCTGCTGTCAGGATAGCTCTCATGGAACGTCTCCAGCTCTTGCTGGTGTTTCTGCTCCATCTCAGCCTCGAGGCGGGCCACGTCTAGGAGCATCTGCTTTCTTTTCTTCTTGTCGCCCTTCGGTACAGAGTTTTTCATGCTCTGGATACGGGCCTGTAGCTCTTTCTTCTCCCGGCTGTGGCGGCGTATCATCCACTGTTTTTCACTATGAGGATCTTCCATAATGGTTAACGGTAGGTGGGAATTGAAGTTAGTGGGAGATCACGCCACCGAACAAGCTGCAATTCCTCAGCTTGTGCCAGCTCAGCCGCTTGTTCCCCTCACCCTATTCACATCCTCCTCTGCTATTGGCCACTGTCTCTTCACGGCCACGCCCCCCACCATGTCTGGCACCAGGATTGGCTGTTGGGAGACCCTAAATTTGTGCCCTTTAGACCCTGTAGCAATGGCCAATTCCAGTTTCAGCAGCGTTCAAATATTGCCGGTAATATCCTGCCTTTCAACAATGTGTGCAGCAATTTGACTTGTAGAAGTTTTGCCTCTTATTGACTACTTCATTTCCAAGTTTGGGCATAAGGCAGACACTGGCTGTGTTTGAGAACCACATGACAAATACTATACCAAATGGTAGTATACTATACGGTCAGCTGAATGTGCTCTGACTTTGGACTCAGCATTGCCCCTCATGTTCAGGAGGCGATATGGCTTTATCTAGTTTTCCAGGACCCTTGACCAGTGAACCCTTAGTATCAGAACAAAGACATTTCCTTATGTTCCTGGGAATACAGAATACTTTCAATGTACTGTTTTGTTTTGTTTTGTTTTGTTTTTTGAGATAGTCTCACTCTATCGCCCTGGGTAGCGTGGTGTGGCGTCATATCTCACAGAAACCTCAAACTCTCGGGCTCAAGTGATTCTTTTGCCTCAGCCTCCCAGGTAGCTGGGACTACGGGCGTCTGCCACAACGCCTGGTGAGTTTTCTTTAGAGAGAGGTTCTCGCTCTCGCTCAGGCTGGTCTAGAACTCCTGAGCTAAAGCAATCCATTCACCTCAGCTTCTGAGAGTGCTAACATTATGGGCATGAGCCACCATGCCCTGCCTTGATGTATTCTTCAAACTCACCCTGTCCCATTGCAGTGTGAGAATGCAACAGCCACTTTGCTTTGAATCACTCACTACAATTAAGTAGATGTGTTGGCTTGTGCCAACAGCATGTAACTACACTATGCTCTCCTTCTTCTGGGTCCCCAAATCCCCAAGTGGTCTCTCTTTAAGGATGTCCACAAAGCACCACAGCCAGCATTCATCAAACTACTTATATCTGGTTATAAATTCTGACAAATAAAAAAAATCCCTAAGTACTTTCAAATATACTCTCTTCCTGTTCCGCTCTGTTCATTTGTGTCTTGAACCCCAAATAAGAAGGCCTTCTAGAGACATCTTCCTTGCTACAAATGAGGAAAGTGGACATTGATCCAAGTTATGTATTTCAAACTTTCATTCATTTTTTATTGCTAAATAATATTCCATGTTATGGATTTATTGTAGTTTGTTTATAACCAATCACCTGTTGAAGGGTATCTGGGTTGTTTCCAGTTTGGGGATATCACAAATAAATCTGCTATAAACATCTGTATTCAGGTAGTTGTGAAAACATATGTCATTTCTCTGGGTAAAATGCCTAGGAGTGCAATTGCTGTGTCATATTCCAAGTGTATGTTTATTTTTTATTTATTTTTGAGACAGAATCTCACTCTGATGCCCTCGGTAGAGTGCTGTGGCATCACAGCTCACAGCAACCTCAAACTCTTGGGCTTAAGCAATTCTCTTGCCTCAGCCTCCCAAGTAGCTGGGATTACAGGCGCCTGCCACAAGGCCCGGCTATTTTTTGTTGCAGTTGCCACTACTATTTTAACTGGCTGGGGCCAGGTTTGAAACTGCCACCCTCGTCTGCGGTGGTTACCCACTAAGCCACAGGAACCACCTGTGTAGGTTTATTTTGTAAGGAACTACTTTCTAGAGCCACTGTAGTATTGTACATTCTTGCCAGCAGTGCATGAGTGATCTAGTTTCTCTGCATCCTCAACATTTGGCATTGTCACAATTTTTTTTTTAAATTTTAGCCATTTTGGTAAGTGACATCTCATTGTGATTTTAGGGGCTAATGATGTTCATCTTTTCATGTGCTCATTTATATCTGTAACATATTCTCTTTCGTAAAATGTTGATATCATTTGCTTATTTTGTAATTGGACTGTTTTTTACTGTTAGTTTTGAGAGTTCTTTGTATGTTCTAGACACTAGTTCTTTGTCAGGTATGTAGTTTGCAAATATTTTCTCCATCTCTAGCATGTCTTTCCATCTTCTTAAGGTTCTCAGGGAAAAAGTTTAAAATTTTTTTAAAATAAAATTTTATTTTCTTTCATGAATACCAAAGTGATACATGTCTATTGTGAGGAAATAAAAAATATAAGCATGTACAAAGAAAGGGGACTATCTTACTACTGCATATGTAATGAATTACCAAATAATAATCATCACAGCATGTAGGTATATTTTCAATATTTTTCTATGCATATATTTTTTATAGTTGAGATCCTATTTTATGTAAAATTTATATATTTTTACTTGAATAGATGTCATACTTTTATTATAATTAAAATCCTTTGTATACATTTTAATGCTTGCATGATTGTGCATAATATAGTATATTTTATATTTGATAATCAACTTAAATACCCTTCTATTGTTGAATAGCTAGGTTGGTTCAGATATTTCACTCTCATAAATAACACAGCAATGAACATCCTTCTATGTAAAATTTTTCTGGTCTAAAGCATTTGCATATTTACAACAAATATCAGGAATGGTTGCAGTCTTAATTTAAACTGATAAATAACCTCCAAAATAGTATTTTGCAGAAGACATGAACAATTCAAGGTAGAGAAATACAAGTAGCAAATATATTTATGAAAAAAATATTCAACCTATCAAACTGACATTACTTTCACTTAACAAATTAACAAGTTCTTATGAATATATTATTCTTAATATTATCATTACTTATTCTTACTATTAGAATTAATAGGATTATAAATTAGTCCCACCTTGTTGGAAAATGCTTTAGCATTTTTTACTGAGGCTTACAAAGTTTTTAATATTGATGAAGTCCAGTCTATCACTTTTTTCTCCCATGGATAATATTTTTGGTGTCAAGTCTGAGAACCCTTTGTCTAACCCTAGATCACATAGATTTTTGTTCTTTTGTTTTTATTAAAATATTTATAGCTTTAGGTTTGAAAGGTAAAATCTGTGACCTACTTTGAGGTTTTTTTTTTTTTATTAAGTCATTTGTGCATAGATCATAAATACATTTATGCCATATGGGATTCAATGTGTTGAATATTTGTACAAGTTGGAGTGCTTACTAATCAACATAGCCTTCACCTCATTTACCTAATTACAGGATTAAGACATTTGTGTTCTACACCTGATAGATCTAACTTGTACTTGCAATATGCTCTATAGAATTACACTGAAGTTCACTTTTTTGCCGAAGGCTTCTTTCATTGAATTGTTTTTTCTTTTTTCTTTTCTTTTTTTGAGACAGAGTCTGACTATGTCACCTTCGATAGAGTGTCATGACGTCACAGCTCACAGAAACCTCAAACTCCTGGGCTTAAGGGATTCTCTTGCCTCAGCCTCCCTAGTAGCTGGGATTACAGGTGCCCACCACAACGCCTGGCTATTTTTTTGTTGAAGTTGTCATTGTTGATTTTAGCTGGCCCGGGCTGGGTTCGAACCCACTAGCCTTGTTGTATGTGGCCAGCGCCCTACGCACTGAGCTACTGGCACCGCCATCCATTGAATTGTTTTTACACCTTTGGCAAAAATTAGTTAGGTATACTTGTGTGGGTCTATCTCTGGGTTCTCTATTCTGTTCCATTCGTCTGTGTGTCTGTAGCTCCACTGACACCATACAGCCTTTGATTATTGTAGCTGTGTGGTATGTCTTGAAATTAAGATCATTAGATCATTTTGTATAACTTTATTCTTTTATTTCAAAATTGTTTTAGCAATTCTAGTTTCTTTGTCTTTTTGTATAAATTTTGTACCCACAAAAAATACTCTCTGAGATTTTTATAAAAATTATTTTAAAGTTATATATCAATTTGGGGAAAATTGACATCTTTACTATCTTGAGTCTTCCAATTCATGAACAACTGGGTATGTATCTTCATTTATTTAGATCTTCATTGGTCTTTTTTTATTAACACCTTATAGTTTTAGCATACAAATCATGTAAATATTTTGTTAGATTTACATTTAAGCATTTTTCTTTTTTGAGTGATTGTAAATGGTATCATGCTTTTAATTTTGATGTTCATTTGTTTATTGTGAGTATATAGAAATATGATTAACTTTTGTAAGTTAATATTGTGTTCTGTGACCCTGCTTAACTCCCTTATTTCCAGGAGGTTTTTCTTGGTACATTCCTTGGAATTTTCTATGTAGCACATCATGTCATCTGTGAATGGGAACAGTTTTATTTTCCCTTTCCAATCAGTGTGGCTTTCATTTTTTTTTTTTTTTTTGCCTTACTGCACTGCTTAGGACTTCCAGCATCATGTTAGGTAAGAATTGTGTGGGTAAACATCCTCATATTGTTTTTGATCTTAGGGAGGAAAGCATTTTGTCTTTTGGCATTTAGCTGTAGGTTTTTGTAGATGTTCTTTATCAAGTTCCCTTCTCTTCCTATTTTTCTGAGACTTTTTGACATGAATAGGTATTGAATTTTGTGAAGTTTCTGCCTTGATTAATATGTGTTTTTTCTTCTATAGACTATTAATATGATAGATTACAGTGATTGTCAAGTATTGAACTGGTCTTTCATTCCTGCAGTAAACCCCATTTGGTCATGGTTTACAATTATTTTTACATAGTGCTGAATTTATTAGCTAATACTTTCTTAAGAATTTAAAAATCTACATTCATGGTCTGTAGTTTTATTTTTTGGTATTGTTTTGTTTAGTTTTGGCATCAGGATAATAGTAACTTAACAAGAAGGGAGGCAAGTATTCCCTCCTCTTGTGTTTTTTGGAAAGAGGTTATATAATATCAGTATTAATTAATTCTTTAAATGTTTGATAGGATTCTCCAGTGAAACCATCTGGGCCAAGAGATTGCTTTTTTTTGGAGGGGGGAAGGGAGTTTTAAAACTTC